ACAGCCGTACTCACAGGTAGGCCTCCGCAGATTGCAGACAACTAAAACTACTACTTGTATAAGCAGGGATGGCTACAAGTTTGTAAGCAGGAGAGCTAGATGCTAACAGATGCCAGATGCTAACAGGTAGTGCGAGCCTGCAGAAATTGCGACTGCTGGGTGCAGTTCACTGATGACTGGGTACAGTTTGATGGCTGGGCAGTTTGATGGCTGGGTACAGTTAACTGATGACTGGGTACAGTTCACTGATGGCTGGGTGCAGTTACGATGACTGGGTACAGTTTGATGGCTGGGCAGTTTGATGGCTGGGTACAGTTAACTGATGACTGGGTGCAGTTCACTGATGGCTGGGTACAGTTCACTGATGGCTGGGTACAGTTCACTGATGGCTGGGTACAGTTTGATGACTGGGTACAGTTCACTGATGGCTGGGTACAGTTCACTGATGACTGGGTACAGTTTGATGGCTGGGTACAGTTAACTGATGGCTGGGTGCAGTTCACTGATGGCTGGGTACAGTTCACTGATGGCTGGGTGCAGTTCACTGATGGCTGGATACAGTTCACTGATGGCTGGGTACAGTTCACTGATGGCTGGGTACAGTTCACTGATGGCTGGGTACAGTTTGATGGCTGGGTGCAGTTCACTGATGGCTGGGTACAGTTTGATGGCTGGGTACAGATCACTGATGGCTGGGTGCAGTTCACTGATGGCTGGGTACAGATCACTGATGGCTGGGTGCAGTTCACTGAGGGCTGGGTACAGTTCACTGATGGCTGGGTACAGATCACTGATGGCTGGGTACAGTTCACTGATGGCTGGGTACAGTTCACTGATGGCTGGGTACAGTTCACTGATGGCTGGGTACAGTTCACTGATGGCTGGGTACAGTTCACTGATGGCTGGGTGCAGTTCACTGAGGGCTGGGTACCGTTCACTGATGGCTGGGTACAGTTCACTGATGGCTGGGTACAGTTCACTGATGGCTGGGTACAGTTCACTGATGGCTGGGTACAGTTCACTGATGGCTGGGTACAGTTCACTGATGGCTGGGTACAGTTCACTGTTGGCTGGGTACAGTTCACTGATGGCTGGGTACAGTTCACTGATGGCTGGGTACAGTTCACTGATGGCTGGGTGCAGTTCACTGATGGCTGGGTACAGTTCACTGATGGCTGGGTACAGTTCACTGATGGCTGGGTATAGTTCACTGATGGCTGGGTACAGTTCACTGATGGCTGGGTACAGTTCACTGATGGCTGGGTATAGTTCACTGATGGCTGGGTACAGTTCACTGATGGCTGGGTACAGTTCACTGATGGCTGGGTGCAGTTCACTGTTGGCTGGTAAAAAGGACGGCACTTTGAACCACGAACTCCACCAGTGGTGAACAGGGCTGGCTAACAACAACAGCGTCTCCACACCAAGCAGCACTGATGTCTATATAAATACAGACTGTATTTATATACAAATACAGACTGTATATCTTTATAAACAGTCTGTATATATATCTGTGTTTCTTACTGCAGAACTTGTCTTTATATGCTTTCCAATCATTTCGTGAACTTTTCTTGTAAACATTGATAAGCTTTATTTGACTTCTTAAAAACACCGGGTTGATAAAGAGTTCAGGTTTTATTGTATTACTTACTTCCCTTCTTCCTTGTAGCTCACTGTTTCCCATGATCTGTGCTCACACGCCAGCACAGCAGGGGGCGGTAATGTACCCCCCTCCCATTAAACAAGAAGAAGCGGAAGAGGAGGAACCACATGGTGTCTCGTCGGGTTTGTGTTCGTGAGAAAGTGAGCTCCAGCTGATCGTCGTGTGTGTGAGCTTTGATCATCGTGTGTGTGTGTGTGTGTGTGTGTGTGTGTGTGTGTGTGTGTGAGAACATGAGTGCCGTGCTGCTCTCGCTGGTGAAGCAGCGCCTCTCTGCTGCTGCTGAGGACATCTTTGTTCTGTTTGAAAGAGCGATATCAGAGTACGAGGGGGGAGGCTAGGAGCCTGTCTCGATCCAGACAGAGCTCGAGCAGACCCGGAAGCTGCCTTGTCCGAGGTGTCCAGCCTCAGGTCCACAGAGCAGGGGTCTGTCCTCTCTAGGAGGAAGAGAGAGCAGAGCGAGAGAGAGAGAGAGAGAGAGAGAGAGAGGGATAGAGAAGAGAGCAGAGCAGAGAGAGAGCGATAGAGAGAGAGAGCGAGAGAGAGAGAGAGAGAGAGAGATAGAGAGAGCGAGAGTAGATCTATCTTTCTCTCTCTCTCTCTCTCTCTCTCTCCTCTCTCTATATCTCTCTCCTCTCTCTTCTCTCTCTCTTCTTCTCTCTCTCTCTCTCTCTCTCTCTCTCTCTTCTCTCTCTCTCTCTCTATCTAAATAAAATTAGCTTGCAGTTGTGTCCATCTGGAAAAAAAATGGTGGGCTAGATTCGTTACCACAGTTCAACTATGTAACAACTGGTATTTCTGCTGCTGTACCTTGTCTGAGTGGCCATCATTTTTTGGTTTGAGTAGGAATTCTCCATAGAGTGGGATGTCTCTTTTTGAGCGACACGTTTCTTGTGAGAATCGCATTCTCGGTGTCTTTTGACGTCGTATTCACCGCCATGTGAAATTGAAAATGTACTCTTGCAAAGATTGCAAAAAACTCTCTGGGAGTCGCCCTGCACCGGCTTCACCCACGGGTTAGGGTCTTCCCAGTCTTTGTTGTATGTTCATCTTCTTTTCTTCTTAGCTGTAGTTTCAGTTTCCTCCATTTTCCATAACCTGCTGCGTCGCCTGCGTTATTGACTGACTTTCGTTGTTGTTGTTTGGCGGGGCCGCGTAGGTGTGTGTGTGAGTGAGTTACTCTCATTGGTTAACACTTGACCAGCAGTTACATTTTGATTGACAGCAAACACACCCCCGTGATGATAGCCTTCCCTGCTTTCTCAACAGCTATTGGATAAATCTGATTTGAAAGAAAAGCGTTTTAGCCAATCAAAATGAAATATGCGGGACATCGTCTCAATTTGCGGGACGCACCAAAAGTCGTGAAAATGCTGTGCAGTCCCGCACAAAGCGGGACATCTGGTCACCCTAGTTGTATGTATTGTGAACGCAACGCTGCGCAAATGTGGGTCTTACTCAGGGGCGGACTGGCCATCGGGACGTTCGGGACGAATCCCGATGGGCCGGTTGGACGATGTGGGCCGGCCGGTAACCGGCAGGGCTCGACATTATAAATGGCCCGCTGGCCCGGAAACTCTATTTACACCCCGGGCCAGCATAACGTAGGCTACTTTCCACTTGCCCGCTCGGGCCACTAAAAATATTGCTTTAAAAAAATGGTCCTGTGGTAAAGGTATTTTGACTAGCAATTGTGTTAAATTGTTTCGTTTATCAACGCTACAACATAGCGTTCCGTGAGTCGGTTGTCTTGTTGGGTGAAAAGCAAACAGCTGTTTGCTGCGGAGCGCAGCGCGAGCAGGCTCCCGAGAGCGCGCTCCTTCACTACAGACTATCGCGCCACCTAACCATTCGCCAAAATGTTTTTAATAGCAGCGGTAACCGGCCAAGCGCCGGGCAAAAAGCAATCTTCAAATAAAAGAAAGTCACCGGAGGAGTTAAAGGAGAGTGACAGGGAGCATGATAAGAAGAGGGAGAGAAGGTTTCAGCTTGATTGATGGAGTTGGCTTCTAGTGGTGCAGTGACGCGTCCTAAAACCCTTTTATAATCTATCGATTAGATTTATGATTCGAAAATTATAAAAGTATGGTAGACATGTGGAGATTATCCGGATGAACAAAACGTGCATTTATCAAACAGGTTTGTTTTCCACAGACCTTATTTCCAGCTATTTTCCAAAACCCTGTGGAGAAATCCCATTGCTTTCTGTGGAGGGAACCAGCAGCTTACTTCCTGGTTTTAGGATGCGTCACTGCACCTCTCAATATGATGCAATATGAACAAGGTCTTCTGTCGGCTCTGTACATCAATGCCGACCTATGCTGACAGTAAGTGAAGAGTAGAACATATAAAGGTATTGGCTAGAGGGAAATGTCCCAGCAGTTTAGGATAATGAAGGTTCTAATCTAATCTATTACATAGCCATTACATTTCTAACTCCTGATGATAGGAAGGCAGAAAGCGCATTATACAAATAATAATAGCAGACATTTTTTAACAATGACCACAATATCATTATTTTAATAAACCAAATATGAACAATTGAGGAAAATTGAGGAAGAACTGATGATTCAAATGTTGTAGTACAAGTAGTAATGTAGTTAGTGCATAAATTACTATTGCAACAAATGTGTTAATTTTCTTCATTATTAGTCGATTTTCTTTGGACGAATGCTCCGGGCCGGTGGTTACAACGGTGGGGCCAGTGATAATAAAATTCCACCGGCCCAGAGGGCCAGTGGAATTGTACCCTTAATGTCTACCCCTGGTCGGCAAAGCAAGTTTATTTATATAGCACCTTTCAACACAAGGCAATTCAAAGTGCTTTACAAAAATGAAAGATATTCAGACAAAGGCATTTAAAAACAGTCATTAAAACGAAAAGATAATAAAAGAAAAAATACATGAATAAAAAGTACATGAATCAAAAGTGATAGTGCAGTTTAAGATATGAATAGTTCACACAGAAGTTCCACTTTACAGATGCCTTTCTTTAAGGTTTCTCCGAACATGAGCTGTGTACGCTTGTATGGCACATCCGTCCCGAGCAGCACACACAGAGAAGAGCAGCCAGGTCAGAGTCCCCAGACACTGATTCCCTGGGGTTACCAGCCCCAAATGTTCATCAACCAAAAACGAAACACAACGGCTCAGTTTCAATTAAAAGCGGCGACAAAAAGAAAAGTCTTCTTGCTGGATTTCAAAGTAGTCAGAGTTGCAGCGGACCTGCAGGTTTCTGGGAGTTTGTTCCAGATATTTGGAGCATAATAACTGAACGCTGCTTCTCCATGTTTAGTTCTGACTCTAGGGACAGAAAGCTGACCAGTCCCTGAAGACCTGAGAGATCTGGATGGTTCATCATTTAGCAGGAGGTCAGAAATGTATTTTGGGCCTAAACCATTCAGTGCTTTATAAACCAGCAGCAGTATTTAGAAATCTATTCTTTGACACACAGGAAGCCAGTGTAAAGACTTCAGAACAGGAGTGATCCACTTTCTTAGTGTTAGTGAGGACTCGAGCAGCAGCGTTCTGAATCAGCTGCAGCTTCCTAATAGATGTTTTAGTGAGACCTGTGAAGACACCATTGCAGTAGTCGAGTCGACTGAAGATAAAAGCATGGACAAGTTTTTCCAAATCCTGCTGTGACATTAGTCTTTTAATCCTAGATATATTCTTTAGGTGATAGTAGGCTGATTTAGTAACAGTTTTAATGTGACTGTTGAAACTCAGGTCAGAGTCCATGACTACACCTATATTTCTGGCTCTATCTGTTGTTTTGAACATTGCAGACTGAAGCTCAGCACTAACTTTTATACGTTCTGACTTGGCTCCAAAAACCATTACCTCAGTTTTATCTTTGTTTAATTGGAGAAAGTTCTGACACATCCAGTCATTGATTTGTTCAATGCACTTACTCAGTGTTTGAATTGGAGCATAGTCTCCTGGTGAAATTGTTACGTACATTTGTGTGTCATCTGCATAGCTATGGTAACTTATTTTGTTGTTCTTCATTATCTGAGCCAGTGGTAGCATGTAGATGTTAAAGAGAAGAGGCCCCAAGATGGAGCCTTGAGGAACCCCACATGTCATATTTGTCAACTCAGATGTGTATTTACCTATAGAAACAAAGTTGTTTCTGTCCTTTAAGTAGGATTCAAACCAATTCAGAACTGTTTCCGAAAGTCCCACCCAGTGTTCCAGTCGGTCTAGTAATATGCTGTGGTCAACAGTGACAAACGCAGCACTGAGATCTAATAATACTAACACTGAAGTTCTGCCACTGTCTGTGTTTAAGTGGATGTCATTAAAGACCTTTACAAGAGCAGTCTCAGTGCTGTGGTTTGGACGAAAGCCTGACTGGAACACATCGAAACAGTTATTTAAATGCAAGAAATTACTCCACTGTTGAAAAACAACTTTTTCAATGATTTTACCTAGAAATGGCAGGTTTGATATGGGCCTGTAATTGTTCATTACTGAAGCATCTAGATTATTCTTTTTTAAGAGCGGTTTAATGACTGCAGTTTTCAGGGCCTGTGGAAAAATACGTGAGTGAAGAGATTTGTTTACTATATGAAGTAGATCTGAGGCCATGCAAGGAAAAACATCTTTGAAAAATCCTGTTGGAATAATATCAAGGCAGCAGGAGGAGGATTTCAGAAGTTGAATAATGTCCTCTAGGTTTTTATCATTAATCTGATGGAATTGTGTCATGGTGTCTGAATTGATATTAGGTGGAGATAGGGACAACACATTTGCTGTTCCTGATGCAGAGGCACTGACTGCTTTTCTGATTTTCTGAATGTTGTCAGTGAAGACGGCAAAATCATTGCACGCCCTGGTGGATAGAGGTTCAGAGGCTACTGACACTGGGGGGTTAGTTAGTCTGTCGACGGTAGCAAACAAGGAGTAGGAGCCATTTTATGGGTGTTGTTGGTGTCTCAGTTTACCTTATTTATATGTATAGTGCAATATTATTTTGAACGCTTGGTGGCGGGGTTTAGCTGCACCGGGTGTATAAAGGGGGTCATAGGTGACAGGCGAGGACGAGGACACAGGAGGAAGAGCATATCGATTCTACCACAGCCCAGCACAGCCCCGGCAGATGCTCATACCATAATTATTGACACAGTGTACTTAAACCTTGGTATGTAAAGCAATAAACATCATTCTAAACTGCAGCAAAAGACCTGGAAATTCATCTGTTTGTGTCTGCGTCAGGATCACTCTAAACCCTCCTGTGAAGTAATGGCAAAGGATATAGGACATTGGAACAGTTAAAATTGCCACTACACAAGGCACGTGCATTGTTTTTTTTTTTGGCAATGATATCAGAGAAGAAAGATTGTCGTGCGTTTTTCAATTCCAAATTATAAAGGCCAAGTCTCTCTTTATAGATTTCAAAGTGAACCTGGAGATTTGTTTTTCGCCACCTGCGTTCAGCTTTTCGACATTCTCTTTTTTCTGCTCTCACGGTCATGGCCTTTCTCCATGGAGATATTTTCTTGCCAGACACTTCCTTTACCTTAGTTGGAGCAATGGCATCTATAACATTTTTAATTTTGAATTAAAATGATCTACTAGCTCATTTACTGAGATGTTGGCAGGGGCAAGTGTGGAAGAGAAATTCTGAGTAAACATTTCCCTAGTGTTTTCAGTTAAATATCGCTTTGTGGTTACCTCTTTTTGAACATTTTTGTGAACAGAAATAGAGCTCTCAAAGAAAACACAGGAATGGTCAGAGAGTGCAACATCAGTCACCACAACCTTAGAGATATTCACACCCTTTGAGATAATTAAGTCCAGAGTGTGCCCCTTATTGTGCGTGGGCTCCGTCACATGCTGAGTCAGTCCATAGCTATCAAGAACACAAAACAGTTCTTTAGCCCCTCTGTCCTGGGGGTTGTCAACATGGATGTTAAAATCACCAACAATGACTAGACGGTCAAAGTCAATACACACTATAGACAGCAGTTCAGTAAAGTCATCGAAAAAGCTTGCACAGTATTTGGGTGGTCTATAGATATTTAGGAACAGAGCTCGAGAGGAGCATTTCAGCCGAAGGGCCACATATTCAAAAGAATCAAAGTTTCCATACGATGTCTTCCTGCATTGAAGGGAATCATTGAACAGAATAGCAACTCCACCCCCTTTCTTATGCATTCTTTCCTGACTCATAAAACTAAAGTTGGGAGGGGTTGATTCGATAAGAACAGCTGCACTGTTATTTTGTTCAATCCAAGTTTCTGTTAAAAACATAAAATCATTGATTAAAAATGTTTTTCCTGCCAAAGACCTGACCTTTAATAAAGCTAGTTTAAGTTTGTTAAACACACTATCAGTCAGGTTTTTTGTAACAAGCTGTGGCTGACATGGAATCACTGCTAAATTAGATACACTCACACAAACGTTTGAGCGCTTCCTGTTTCTATGATTCACCGCTCTTAATCTATTAAGTGCCATACGCCCTTGAGCCTTGACCCAGCACATATCAGTTTGCTGCATTTTGTACACACACATTCTTATCAGGCTTCAGAGACAGCAGATGCTGTCTTGAAGGGGGGGGGGGCGTTTTGGTCCGGATGATTGTGGTAGGCATGGTGACGGGGGTTATTGTGCGTGTCTATGCTTCTGTGATTTTGGTGGGAGTCGTTGAGGAGGGGCGGGGGTAGAAGAGATGCTGCCAACCCTGCATATCGCCTTCATGCGGTCATTGAACTCCAGGAAGGACTTGGTGCCAACCCTCTGTGTCTCCTTCATCTGCTCATCAAAACTCCAGGGGGGCAGGCGAGGGTGAAAGGGTGAGCGGAGAGTAGAGAGAGCTGGGTGTGAAGGAAGAGTATCCTCAAAGGTGTTGACAGGGGGGGTGAAGGGCGGTGGAGACTCCTCCATTTGTCTCCCATAATCAGAACATTCCTCAGGCGGGTGCAGTGATACTTCTTCAGGGTTTTCTGAGCGATGTGTTGTGTCTTTCTCGTGTTTTGATTCCTCTTGCCGCTTGTCCTTGGCAGAGGGAACAGATTGATAACGCAGGCATTTGAATACGTTGGAGATAAACAATTTCACTCCTGACTTGTTCAGGCAAACTCCATTTGCCTTGAAAAGATGTCTGCGATCCCAGAAAAAGTTAAAATTGTCAATAAAATGAACAGAATGGTCAGTACAGGCCGTTGAAAGCCACGTGTTCAGTGCAAACAATCTGCTGAATCTCTCCACTCCTCTTCTGACTGGCGGTAGAGGGCCACTGATGAACACCTCTGCATTTAGAGAGCTGGCAGTTTCCAACACACATTTAAAGTCTTCTTTCAGCACTTCTGACTGTTGTTTCACAACATCATTTGTTCCAATGTGCAGTACCACATTCTTCACAGTCGGATGTTCAGCCCCAATATGCAGGATCTTCTCAGCCAAGTCAGAGACCACATCCTTGGGAAAACAGAGTACTTTGGTGTTGTTCTTATTACACAGACCTTTTACATCTCTTACAGCAGAGTCACCCACAATCAGAGTTTCAGGCCCAGTCGTTAGCTTTCCCTCTAGCCTTTTACTTTTAGAGTAGCTATTGGTCCTTACCCTGCTGCGTGAAGAGGACAGGTTATCCAGGTCATCAGATCTCCGGTTCTCGGTCAGCGGAGCGTATCTGTTCTGGATTGGCACACTCGGTGGTTTAGGATGATTTTTTTGTAGTTCTCCCTTTAGCAGCTGTCCACTGCTGTTTCCTAGTATGAACACGGGTTGAAGAGGCGCTCTTCCTGGGTGATAACAATGCAGGCCAGCCGGTCGCATCACAGATTTCAGAGCGCTGGGCTCTGCCTGTTATTCGTCCTCCCAAATCCCATGGAAATGATTTACTCTTAGGCTTTGCACCCAGAGAGTTCCAGGGAGGACTACCACTTGTAGATTTATTACCCGGTACACAGCCCTCCTGTTCCTTGGAATCCTTGTAGCTGTTAACTAGCTGTAAGTTAGCATTCCCTCTTGCAGCACTGGTAAAGTGGTGTCATTCCAACCTAGTCCATTAACTTCCAACCGTTGCATTTTCATTTCCAACACGGCCATCTTCTGTAGAAGTTTGTGGAAGTCATCTGTAGAGACCGGAGGCATTTTGCTGCTAACTAGCTAAATAGCATGCAGTACCAGGCTTTAGCTGTTGCTAGGCCACGCTACTGTAAGACTGAGGTCGTCGTAAAAATATTGAAATATGGCTGAAACCCTTCATCTACTTACGAAGAATAACTGTCCCAGTGAGAAGTTAATGTCCAGGAGCCGCTGCTCGAAATTATCAGAAAGAAAAATAGGAAAATCAGCATAAAAAAGTAAGCAGAGGCAGGAGCAAGCAGAAAAGCGTCTGCACTGTAAGAAGCAGGAACCTATAGGCGCAGAGTAGCTGTGATTGGTCCCCAAAATAATTGATAGTTTACAATCTGGCTGAACTAGAAGAGGTATAAAAGTATATAAACGAAGGCATTGATTAGGGCTGCAAAACTACTCGACTTGTAAAGGTGATTAGATTTTAAATTCTAACACAGTTTTTCTGACTGTGCTTCCTGTTTCCTGCAGACGTCCAGCAGCTGGTGGTTAAAGAAGAGGTTCCCCCTGAGCAGCAGGAGTGGAGCTCCAGTCTGGACCAGGAGGACCCAGAGCCCCCCCCAGACATTAAAGAGGAACAGGAGGAAATCTGGAGCAGTCAGGAGGGAGAGCAGCTTCAAGGGCTGGAGGAGGCTGATATCACCAAGTCCACAATCACTCCTGACCCTGTGAAGAGTGAAGATGATGAAGAGAAACCTCAGTCCTCTCAGCTTCATCAAAGACAAACTGAACACATGGAAACAGAAGCTGATGGAGAGGACTGTGGAGGACCAGAACCAGCCAGGAGCTCAGATCCAGAGAGACATTTACAACCAGAGACTGAGGACCACACTGGAGACTCTTCTGAACCAGAGACTGAGGACAACCCTGGAGACTCTTCTGAACCAGAGGCTGAGGACAACCCTGGAGACTCTTCTGAAGACACTGAAGACAGTGCTGATTGGAGCGAGACTGGAGAACCTCAGTCAGGTTCAAACTCTCAGGAAAATAAACAAAACTCTGTCAGTGATTCAAGGTGTAGTGCAGGAGAGAAACGTTTTAGATGCTCTCAGTGCAGGAAAAGATTTGTCCGCAGGTCAAGTCTGAAGGGTCACATGAGAGTTCACACAGGAGAGAAACCATTCAGCTGCTCAGTCTGTAAGAAAGCATTTTTAGAGAGATGTCAGTTAAAGAGCCACATGGCAGTTCATACTGCAGAGAAACCATACAGCTGCTCAGTCTGTGAGAAATCTTTTAGACGTAAAAGTGATTTACAAATTCACATGGCAGTTCATACAGGAGAGAAAGCATACGGCTGCTCAGTCTGTGAGAAATCATTTAAACAGGGAAACAGTTTAAGTCGACACATGAGACTTCACAGTGGAGTCAAACACACTGCAGAGAAACCATACAGCTGCTCAGTCTGTGAGAAATCTTTTAGACGTAAAAGTGATTTAACAATTCACATGAGAGTTCATACATGAAAGAAACCATATGGCTGCTCAGTCTGTAAGAAATATTTTACACTAAAGTCAGGTTTAACAAGTCATATGAGAGTTCATACAGGAGAGAAACCATACAGCTGCTCAGTCTGTAATCAATCATTTGCACAGGCTAATAGTTTAAATAGACACATGAGCGTTCATACAGGAGAGAAACCATACAGCTGCTCAGTCTGTAATAAATCATTTGCACAGAGAAATGGTTTAAAGATACACATGAGGACGCACATAACCAATCAGCCGCAGTGTTTCAGACTGAAGATGGATGACCAAGCTACATCTGATGAGACACATGATGAGGCCGAAGTGACTGATGATCGGAAAGATTCCCTCAGTCAGTTTTAAAATCTCTAAACAGTAACAAAGGTCCTGTCAGTGCTATAAGACGCATCACTAGCAAGCTACCAGTCAGAGATCTGAGTGGGAAATATTAGGCCTGAAAGAAAGTCTGAAGAGACGTAAACATCAGATCAGTTCATCAGCACAACTCTCAACATCCATATCAATAATATCATCAGAACATGAACATAACCAAGAACCATCATTATTCTTATTTTACTCACTGTCCTTTTACTCTGTGTTTATGTTTTATGTTATAAATATATATTTGAATAATTTCTCGACTGTTATTTTTTACTAAATGTTATGATAATTAACATAAAGATGTGCTTTGGAAATGATAGTTTTTCCTAAATGGTTAGAAAAACGTGTTGAAGCTCACCTATTGTGCTATATTTCAACAATAACTGATAGAGCCTGTTACGACCGGCCCGTTGGCCGCAACAGGAAAGTTCAAAAAGAGACGCTCAAAGTTTCCAAAAATCACGGCACTTTATTTGCAACACCAAAAACAGGGAGGATGGACGATGGGAAAGGATCACGTAGGGAGTTCTTCTGCAGCCGCCTTGGAGAGAGTACTGCCGGCCATGTGACTCCGGGCAGCTGGGCTTAAATAGCACCTCGGCTCCGGACAGGTGTCCCTGATCCCGCTGATTGGCCTCTTCAGCTCCACCCCATCGCAGGACCTGCAACACACTCAGAGGCCCCAGGCTCTGGGGCCGTCACAGATGATTCAACTCGATATGGAAACCTCAACAGTGGTTTGTGGGTCGGATCGTCTCTGAATCATTCCTGATTTTCCTTTGCAAAGGTCATGGAGAGGAAAGTCTTTAAAGGAATGGTATGCTCATGACACTCATTTTTAAATAATTATCATCCGATAAAACAGACCAGTCTCTGCCAGTCTTTTTTTTTTTTTTTTAATCCGATGACATTATCAGTGATTTTAAACTGATTAATTACCGAAATAACATCAACACTGTGGGCGGCGCCATTTTACCGGACGTGACGTAAACCATGCGTTTGGTTTCGAGGACACGTTGATGTTCATGTTATTTACTGTAGTTACTCTCTTCAAATATGCCTCATTGTATCGCGAAACATTGCCACAATTCTGATAGGAACAATCCACGGAAAGCTCGGTTCCATCTGTTGCCAAAAGGTAAGCGTAGGAAGTACGTTCTGAGGCAGTGGCTAGCGAAATGTGGCCGGCTCGAACCGAAAGATCCACAGGCGCATGTATGCAGCGAACATTTCAAGTTTCCGGACGACTACTCTGAGAGTATGATAAAACATAACATGGGATTTATTGAACAACCATTACTTAATGGAGATGCAGTACCATCGGTCTTTCTGGTGTCATCACCGACCAGGACACCAGTTCGGCCAGTTGAGAAATCGCCCTCTGCAAGTGTGAAGCGACGGAGGACCAGAAGTAGTGCTCGGAGTAAGAATAAGGTATGTTATAGCGCATTTCCATTGCAGCGGGTAGCCCCGTTTAAACGTCCTTTATCGTCCAGGCCAGGCCAGTTTTTGGTGGCCTTTCCATATAGCGTAGTACCGGCTAGTGGGTATTTTCCCCCAGTTTTTCCGGCCCCATAAAATCGTGGTTCTAGGGCCAGGGACAACGAGGCTGAGTATGCTAAACTAGAGAGGGAATCGCTAGCAAGGGTGGTACTACATGCATACATATCTAGTAATCAAAATCATTGTATCTACTAAGTAGTACTAAGTAGGCTCGAACCTGTATGGCTGAATTCCCCCATCCAATCTCTTCATTTTGCTCAAAACTTCGCCATGTTTTCGTGTGTTTACAAAGTGAACGCATGGATGACGTCACGACCATCACGTGACTACTGAAAATGGGCAAAATGGCAGCGGCCTGACGGAATATACAGGTTTTGATAAAAAAGAGCTATAAAATCATTATTTACCGGGGAATATCGCTGATTTCTTCAGGGTATGGTTTAAACATAATGTTTCACTAAATACTGAAGTTTTGATTAATTATCTAATGAGTGGAGCATTCCTTTAAGAGAAAGTGAAGATTGTCTCCTCGTCAGAAGTTTTGATTTCATTAGATCTTTATCAAAGACACCAGGAAAGGCACTTCTCATCACGTTCATATACTGACATCAAACTGAGGGCATTATGAACAGGAAGCAGAAAGAAATTATTAAAAATAAATACCAATAAAGAATGGTCCATCAGGATTGGGTCAGTTAGAAAGAAGCTCTTAACTCAGGCGAAGAAGGCAGACGGAGACACGGAGGATGATACCGGTGCATCATTCTTTTTCAAAATAAGTGACTGTCAAAATCAAGTAGGAAATAAGAGAGGTCTTATGGTCGACTGTGGTGCCACGACACACATGATTAATGACCCGGCAAAGTTTAAGACAATCGATAAGAGCTTCAGACGCGAGGACCATGTGATAGAGCTGGCAGATGGAACGAAAACGACCGGGATGGCGAAGATGAGAGGAGAAGCCGAAGTTGTTCTGCTCGACAGCGAAGGACGGCAAGTGAAAACGAGGCTCAAACGAGCGCTTTACATCCCATCTTTTCCACAGGACATTTTCTCCGTGAAAGCAGCGACAGCCAGCGGAGCTGAGGTCCGCTTCAAGGACGGTGATGATTGGCTGATTCATCAAAATGGTACTAAGTTTAAAATGGATGTGTATGGTAGGCTATATTACCTTAGCACAGTAGAGGATGAAAATACTCAGTCTGAGAGTCCTCTCCTCTCAGTCTGAGAGTCCTCTCCTGTCAGACTGAGAGTCCTCTCCTGACAGACTGAGAGTCCTCTCCTCTCAGACTGAGAGTCCTCTCCTGACAGACTGAGAGTCCTCTCCTCTCAGACTGAGAGTCCTCTCCTGACAGACTGAGAGTCCTCTCCTCTCAGACCGAGAGTCCTCTCCTCTCAGACCGAGAGTCCTCTTCTCTCAGACCGAGAGTCCTCTCCTCTCAGACCGAGAGTCCTCTCCTGTCAGACTGAGAGTCCTCTCCTGACAGACTGAGAGTCCTCTCCTCTCAGACTGAGAGTCCTCTCCTCTCAGACTGAGAGTCCTCTCCTCTCAGACTGAGAGTCCTCTCCTCTCAGACCGAGAGTCCTCTCCTCTCAGACCGAGAGTCCTCTCCTGTCAGACTGAGAGTCCTCTCCTGACAGACTGAGAGTCCTCTCCTCTCAGACTGAGAGTCCTCTCCTGTCAGACTGAGAGTCCTCTCCTGACAGACTGAGAGTCCTCTCCTGTCAGACTGAGAGTCCTCTCCTCTCAGACTGAGAGTCCTCTCCTGACAGACTGAGAGTCCTCTCCTAACAGACTGAGAGTCCTCTCCTCTCAGACTGAGAGTCCTCTCCTATCAGACTGAGAGTCCTCTCCTGTCAGACTGAGAGTCCTCTCCTCTCAGACTGAGAGTCCTCTCCTGACAGACTGAGAGTCCTCTCCTGACAGACTGAGAGTCCTCTCCTCTCAGACTGAGAGTCCTCTCCTGACAGACTGAGAGTCCTCTCCTGACAGACTGAGAGTCCTCTCCTCTCAGACTAAGAGGCTCAGTGAACTAAAGGACTCTCTGAGTGTTTAGATAGTTAACTTTAGTCTTAATTTATCTCAGTGGGTCTCAAACGGTTTGGTCACGAATTATTCAAAAGATTATTTCTGAGGCACACCTTCATATGATCATTATCGTTATAAAACAATAAGAAAATAAAGGAAAAACAGGTATGAAATACTATATGGCAGTAAAACAAGAATAGAGTTTAAAGGGGAGTGATTTGTAAAATATCCATAAAGAAATGGTAAATCTGTGTCAAGTTGTGTTTCATCTGGGTGTTGAGAGATGGATCCATAGATCTCTCCATGTTGCTCTCAAAGTTCACCAGATTGATGCTTTTAACTTCAATATTTAAAAAAAAATCTTCCCGGGGGAGCATGCCCCTGGACCCCCCTAGAGGAGGTGAGGACCACTCTAGAGGAGGTGAGGACCACCCTAGAGGAGGTGAGGACCACTCTAGAGGAGGTGAGGACCACCCTAGAGGAGGTGAGGACCACTCTAGAGGAGGTGAGGACCACTCTAGAGGAGGTGAGGACCACCTAGAGCAGGGGTGGCCAACCAGTCAGAGGTTAAGAGCCACATTTTTTCTATGTTACTTCAAAGAGCCACATCAAACAGTTTTTTGTTTTCTGGAGACAAGATTTCAACCACGTCACTGATGCATTTTTGTGGCATTGGGATATATATTTATTAAATCCTCTGGAGCAGCTGTGGATTATTGTTATTGATTAATGCATCAGTGTTTCTTAGGGTCAAAAACACTAAACTCACAACTTAAAATGAAAGCGTTTAGTTTATTTAATAAAAGAGCACATGTTCAATGTGAAAAGTGACAGTAGTTATAGATTATTTGCAATTTGGTGCTATATTTAAAAAAATAAATAATTATATATATTTTTTAAACACCTTGAATTCCAGGGGGGGGGGGGGGCGCGGGCTCCGTTGTAAAATAGCACTTTACCCCTGCTTACACCTATATATATATAATATATATTTTTATATATATATATATATATATACCCCAGCCGTGAGCTGATTATCGAGCCTTCATTGTGTGTGTGTGTGTGTGTGTGTGTGTGTGTGTGTGTGTGTGTGTGTGTGTTCCACTGTAGCCCGGTACCTTGTTGGGAAACCCTACATGTTTGAGCACCCTCTGACATGTCAAGCTACCCCACAGCACCCCCAAAAGAAAATGTCAGGCACCGCCACTGTGGGCTGATTCCCGAATGTTTCCAGGTCCAGGAAACGCCACTGGTCCTGAGTCTAAAGACAATTGCCTGTGTCCCATACACTGCACGACTACAACATTGTTTGCGAGTTCACTTACCATGAAGAGCTGTAGTTACCAGAGCCTCTCAGTGTGAGCTGTAGTTATCAGAGCCTCTCAGTCTGAGCTGTAGTTATCAGAGCCTCTCAGTCTGAGCTGTAGTTATCAGAGTCTCTCAGTGTGAGCTGTAGTTATCTCTCTCAGTCTGAGCTGTAGTTATCAGAGTCTCTCAGTGTGAGCTGTAGTTATCAGAGCCTCTCAGTCTGAGCTGTAGTTATCAGAGTCTCTCAGTGTGAGCTGTAGTTATCAGAGCCCCTCAGTGTGAGCTGTAGTTATCAGAGCCTCTCAGTCTGAGCTGTAGTTATCAGAGCCTCTCAGTGTGAGCTGTAGTTATCAGAGCCTCTCAGTCTGAGCTGTAGTTATCAGAGCCTCTCAGTGTGAGCTGTAGTTATCAGAG